TTACTCTACTCATTCACAAGGTCATTTTTATGTAGAGTTACGTAGAATTTTTATGTAGAGTTATGTGAAATTTTTATGTAGCTTTATAAACCCAATGTAGATTTTACATATTATTTATATAAATATATATATATATATTTATGTAAAATTTCAAAAAAATTTCAACCTAAATATTAAAGCTAGAAATAGATTTTAAAAGCTTAAACTAGGGGTTTGGGAGTGTTTTCTAGCCTGCTGAACATTTTTACTTAGTATATTGAACACAGTCATTTTTGAGAAATAGCCAAAGAAAGTAATTCATTTTTATGTAGATATAAATAGAATTTATATAATTTTTATTATATGGGGATGAGTCAATAGAAATCAAGCAAATTTTTTATAATAAAATTTTTTTATAACTTTAAACAAGAATAACTTAACAAAGACTTGACCAAATTTAATAAAAATTTTTTTAAATAATTTTTACAAACTTGTAGAATTAATTTAAAAAAATTTTTATTAAATTTGATCAAGTTTTTGTTAAGTTATTCTTGTTTAAAATTTTAAAAAAACTTGCTAAAAAAAATTTGCTTGGTTTCTATTGACTCAACCCCATATGTTGACAAAAGTCAACAGTTCGAAAAACCAGACTAAGCACCGATCTGACCCGGCATGCACCGATCCGATCTGGCACCAAATACCCAACTGCATATAGCACAGATCAGCCAATTAATACAATCCGCAGGTCACTGCCGCACACGGGCAAAACTAACTACTCCGATGGCCAATCATCACTATGCAGATGACCCATCGGCCACGAGTACACAGGTCCCATTGACACGGGCATATGCCACACAAGCCATATATAAATATGCCTCACCTAGCCCTTACTAACTTTATCTGCAAAGCATCAAAACAATTTTTGGAAAATCACTATGAACAATCAAACTAAAATTCAAGCAACAACCTAATTAACAATGCAAAATTACACACTGATTCATCTGATATTGATGAAAAAACAAAGGCATATATTGATCACGCATGTCAATCATTGACCAATGCAATCATTGATACAATAAAATCTTACATTGATCAATTAATAAGCACACAAATGGATTTAATCAACAAAATGAACGAATGTATAGAAATGTGGTTTAACCAACAAGAGAGATATAACATTCAACCCAACAACACTTTCCAGAACCATGAATACACCACAACCATGATTTTTCTTCAGCTATTATCCAACAGCAAAATGACCACTACCAACAACGAAACTACTGTGAAAATAATACTAATCAACAAGGTAACTGTCCCCTTATGCCTCTTCTGAATAATCTTTTATTAAACACCAATAGCACCAGCCCACATAACAAGAATAGCACTGTGCCCCATATCCAAACCAAAGCAACAAATACAATAAAAACCAAAGCAACCACAAGAACATATCTCTCATTTGACTATACAGAGTTGACCAACCTCCAACCTGTGAGCAACTTCAATAACACTACCACAGCACAAATAGAGCAAATTCGCATATGGTGGATCTTCAACTGGTCCGAGGGTCAGAAAATAATCGAAACACTGCCAAACAAATCAAGCTTGCCTATGTGCTTGTGAAAAACAATTGCCTTTGGCAATTACATTGATCTTCATGAATAAACCTAAAAGCTTATCTCAAAAACAATGATGACAACCAAACTATTTTAACCAATGAAGGCAGCACCATCACTCTTCATAAATGCAGCCACCAACAAAAGTTCAATGACATTTCTGAATGGCTTCTAGCTTTCAAATCTTATATAAAGGCAGTGTTACAGTGCTCAACAAAAGTTTTCTGCATCTATATCACCTCATGGAGAGGTGCTATGATCTTAAAACTTTCAGAAATGTTAGTATATACATAGTATAAATCGTGTATGTGTTTTGAAGATTTTATAATCACAAGAAAAAAATTTGGATAAGAGCTAAATTTTGGATGTTTTTCGTCTCTAAAAAATTAAAAAATTAATTTTTAAAGTTTTGAGGTTTATTTTACTAATATCTCGTGTTTCAACAGTCCAAATTTGATGATTTTGATATTATTAGAATTGTCTCGTCGAGACAATTCGAATAATACCAAAATCATTAAATTTGGATCACTAGATATCAAAATAGTTTTGATTGAAAAAACTATTACTTTGTAGTTTTTAAAAATAAAAATAAAATTTTAAAAATTAATTTCTTGATGATTATCTCATCAAATCGAGCCAAATTTTTTATGACCACAACAGAAATCAATGAATTTTAATATACTAATTTTTTAAAATTTTAACTTTAAGCCTTAACGATATATTAATTTTTCTTTAATTTCAATTAATTCTTTTATTTTTTTAAAAAAAACATTCCAACTTTAGCTCTCATGCAAGCTTTTTTCTAGTAATTAAAAAATCTTCAAAAAATGCACACGATCTAAACTATGTACGTACTAATTTTTGTAAAAGTTTCAAGACCGTAGCACTTCACTATGAGAAGATATAGGTGCAGGGAAACTTTTGTCAGGCACTGTAGTAATATACAAATGCATGAACACAAATTAAATATATACCGCGACCACATTAGCACTCTGTGCATCATTCATGCCATTTTGAACTATGATGAAAATTGTAGAATTCACCTTATCGCAAATTATAACACTACCTTACTCGATTGAAACATCGAAGCTGAGGGTGAAAATTTCGACGTGATCACCACCAAGAAGTTCTGCACCACCAACACTCCTAGATTCCCCAGACCAGATATCACTTGGCACAATGGTCATTAAATATGCATAAATTAGAACAAAAAAGGCTGCACTGAAGACGCAAACTGCCAATGGGTCCACACCTATCTAAATTGTAAAAAATTTGGCCACCCAGACCGAAGGTGCTTTCTTAATAGATCTATATCTACAAGACAACTGGACAACCAAACTCATACAAACAAATAAGAGAAAATAGAATATAAATTAATATATATATACCTAATATATATAGATATAATAAGGAACTTATATATATTAAAAAAAAAAAACAGTGAAAGATGGGAAATTAGTAATCAATATTTACGCACATTACTTCCTCTTCAAAAAAAAAAAAAAGAGAGAGTTACACAAATCAAAACATATGCACGTGAGGTTAGAAGGAAGTACATCGATATCTATATGCATATTCCAATTATCAAAAAAAAGAAAAAGAGAAACAAAGGAGAATATATATACACAAAACATAATACAGCATTTATCAAATATATAATAAAATATAGATAACGTTAAATTTACATAACATAATTAAATATTGATATACCACTAATATGTCCCACATATATATCTATAATGTATAGATAATCACACATCAAATAACTTAGTACACACAGTGCAATTTAAACTATTCTGAAATATCATAGTAGATGAGGCTCCGGTACTCCAATCAGTTAATGAGACTATATCAACAATACCCCCACCAACCATTCCCCTAACCAGCATTGAACTACACCTACTATCACAACTCAACCCACAACAATTCAACATACAAACCCTAATAAATGTCATAGCGTTTCAATATCTAACATCAACCCACCCCAATCACCTATTCATAGAATACTTAATTAACAGAATCAGACATGGTTTCAGATTCAATTTTAGAGACACTCGCACAAAAATCATCCAGAAAAATCTGCAATCAATTAACACAGCCCCAGGAGCATTCTACACCCAGGGTTTAAAATTGGCTTGCACAAGATGCACATGTGCAAGTAGATTTTTTTTGGTGCAAGAGAAGTTCTAAATATATATGCACAAGTGTGCAATTAAATTTGAATAAGGAGCTTGCGCAAAAAATGATGTGCAAGAGAAATTATAAAATTTTATTGTACTAAAACTTAATTTAAATATAAAATATAGATAGGCTAAAAATATTCTGAAAAGATCCAAAAGAAAAATGAATAAATATAAAATATGAGCAAGGTTAAGCTTAAATTTTGAGAAAATATTTAAAATATTTCAAAAAATCAAACAAAAATATAAGATATAACTGGTATAGTAATTTTTAAATTTTTATACCATTGGATCACTTAGAGGCAATAAATAAGTGTATATAAAAATTTTTTTATATGCATATATATGCAACTAGTAGTTGGTTTGTGCAATTAAAACTTATAATACAACTGTATTTGTGCATATAAGTTTCAATCTGAATTTTGGAGGTAATAAATATGTGTATATAAAAAAAAATTTTATATACACACATGTGCAACTAGTAGTTGGTTTGTGCAAGTAAAACTTGCAGAACAACTGCAATTGTGCAAGAAGATTTCGAGCTGAATTTTAAACCCTGTCTACACCTATATAAAGAATAAATTAGCAAACAAGCATATATGCAGCCCATTTTACAAAAACGATCCACCATGCGACATCTTCCAAACCAATCTGTGCAGCCTGGTTGAGAAAAAATCAAATAGATCAATTACTTTGGCAAAGGGTGCACACTCTCCAAAATCGATATAAAAGATGCATATCGCATACTATCAGTCCATTCTATAGACCAAATACTACATGATTTCTGCAACGGCAATGAAATATATTTCGACAAAGTCCTTGCATTTGGAAACTGTGCTTCCAGTAGTATTTTTGCCGCTTCGTCGACACCATTACATGAATCGCCTCACAACAAGGCCTCCTAGCTATAATCCATTATGTCAATTACTTTCTCATTATTTCACCAACAGACAGATCACGAAAATTGCAACAATTTATCCACATTCTAACACTATAAACATACCTTATAAAGACACAAAGTTGGAAAGTCCAAGCATCTCTGTTACTTTCTTAGGTATATGGCTCGACACAGTTAACATGACAGCATCTATACTACTACAAAAACATGACAAACTACTACTCCAACTCAAACAATGGATCAGCAAGAAAAATTGCCTGCAGAAGGAACTCTAATCATTAGTAGGCTTATTGGTATGGGTATGTTAAATCATACCCCAGGGACATCTCTTTATACAATGTCTAGTAAAAGCACAAAATTCATCCACCAATTGACATCACCACATCCGCATAACCAAACCCATGACTTCTGACATTCATTGGTAGATTTCCTCACTACAAACATGGCCAGGCATTTAGCTCTTACAGGACCGGGACTGGTACAATACTCTTACCCTAAACTTGTATACTGACGCGTCGAACATAGCAGAGGTGTGACATACAGAAATTACTTTACTACTTTTAATTGGGCCAAATCGATCAACTTGCCCACAATAAACATACAAATGTGCAAGCTATTGACTACACTAATCGCAATATGCACTTTTGCCCCTATGTGGGAGAGGAAAAAACTTATTATTTGGACCGACAATTCTGCCAACAAAGAAGCATATTATGCCAGCTACTGCAAAAACTCAACCATTAACGAAATTATCACCCATATATGCAAAGAACAAATCTTCAGGAATTTTTTCATCAAAATTCAACATATATCGACACAAACTTGCTTTCTTGTAATGGGCATCATGAATACATTACCAAAAACCCCTTATCTATATACCTCCATCCCGATATCTCTCTCGACTTCACAAACCTAATTTCTCTAATTCCATCCTTCAAACAATAGCCGCATCCAACACAGCACCCACATTACAGCTCTAACTCAATTCGACAACTAACACACATTTTTGGTAGCCATGAATCTTTGGACAAGAAAGCCGCATCCATATTAGACATCCCAACTCCTGTCAACAAATCCTACGAAGCAACGATCAAATATTACAAAATGTTAGCAATAACCAACAATTGGCTTAACCATGACAGGTCTATTTGGCCCATATCAAAAGACTCTCTAGTGAAATATATAATACTACTACACAAAACCATTTCTCTACTGACCATAGCATCGTACCTTTCTGCTCTAAAATACTACTACATGAGGAATTTCTACAATTGGACTCACATTCAAACTGACCCTCTAATTATCCAACTCTTAAAAACTATCCACACAACACATCCAGTAAAGCAGAAGACCCATATCACATGCTTCTATTTATCCTGTATTAAAAACAAACTCAACTTGGCTAACCCCACAGATCTTCTATTTTGGACCATCGCACTCACAGCATTTTATGGCCTCGCACGTCTTGGCAAACTACTCCCGAGCAGCCAATCCAACAGCACCAAAGTCCCAACCCTACAAGCTTTAAGATTTGAGAAAACTGGAAACAGCACCTTCGCAATCAAGAACAAAGAACTATAAAACAGCGAATCGAGTTTCATTAATTATCAATCCAACAAATGATGACTTTTGCCCCATATGCATCCTAAAATTCTATGCTCAACTATACACAAACCTAGCATATACAAAAAACAATACAATGCTATTCACAAAACTTGATAGCTCATGGGCTTTAAAACAATAGTTTATAGGAAAACTTAAAAATCTCCTCTCCAACGAGGACATTGCCGGACATTGCTTCCATGCAGGAGGCATAACTGAATTAGTATCACAGGGCATACAACTAGTAATAATTCAAAAAATCAGCAGATGGAAATCTGATGCCTTCTACAGATACATCTGAAGCTATCTTGTCACAATTGCATCAATACTCATCTGAGCTTACACCAATTAACCCTACTTCAACATATTGAAACAAAAACCCTGGCTTAATTGATGTCAGCAGAAAACCCATGCAAAAAAAAAAAAAATGAATACACAACACACACACCCACAATTCATCCAATTGGTCCCACTACAAAATAAACAAAGAAATTAAAAAAAAAAAAAAAAGAATTGACAATAATAGCATTACTTCGGTTATATATATATATATATATATATAACAAAAAAAAAAAACAAACACATTTGACAACTACAACAAAGGTCGAAGATAACACCATTGCAGAAGCACATACTATATATATATATATATATAACAAAAAAAAACTTATCAAATAACAGAATCAACCATATTCTTGGAATAATCACATAATTCTGCCATTTTAACAGCCGGCCTGCTTCGGCAGGTGGGAAACCACCAGCTGAATAATAGGCTAGGATCACCTATTTAATTTCTGTCTAGTCTGTTACGATGACTCCCAATGCAATTATTATTGCTATCTTTTTGGAATATTCATCGTTTCAGTTCTTATTACTCTTATTCACTTCACATTTATCTCTAATAAAGTTATCTCTGGCTCTTATTGTAGCTAGCATTACTCCATATACATGAGGCGTGTATCTATGTTTTTCATATATGTTAACAAAAGTCAACAGTTCGAAAAACCAAACTAAGCACCGATCTGACCCAGCATGCACTGATCCGATCTGGCACCAAATACCCAACTGCATATAGCACAGATTAGCCAATTAATATGATCCACAGGTCGCTACCACATATGGGCAAAACTAACCACTCCGATAGCCAATCATCACTATGTAGATGACCTATTAGCCACGAGTACACAGGTCCTATTGACACTGGTATATGCTACACAATCTATATATAAATATGCCTCACCTAGCCTTTACTAACTTTATTACTAAGCATCAAAACAATTTTCAGCTCTGCTCTATCCCTCCACAAGCAGTAATCATAATCACATGATTCTGCCATTTTAACAGCCGGCCTGCTTCAGTAGGTAGGAAACTACTAGCTAAATAATTAGGCTAGGATTGTTTATTTAATTTCTGTCTGGTCTGTTACGATAACTTCCAGTGCAATTATTATTGCTATTTTTTCAGAATATTCATCATTTCAGTTCCTATTACTCTTATTCATTTTATATTTATTTCTAATAAAGTTATTCCTGACTCTTATTGCAGCCAACATTACTTTATATATATGAGGCATATGTCTATGTTTTTCGATAAAATAATTTTTCACCACCTGGGTAAATTATTACCCTTATCATTTTTTTTTAAAAAAATGATTGAACCTAAGATATTAGTAAGTTAGGGTTGAGTGTATTATATATAAAATCATGTAAGAGATCTTTTTTGTTAGAACTCGTAGAGTGGTTTTCATAAGCAAAATGGTGAAATATTAGTGATTTTTTAAAAATTGTTTTTATTTGTTACACAAAGATGATTTACATGTTGTACACATTACACCTAATCTTGTATATTTATTGATAATCTTAGGAGATAAATAATATTACTTAAGTAAAAAATAAATATACTCTTTTATATTTATATAAATAATATATAAAAATTTATATCATAACTGCCCTTTGAAGAAGAAAAAATTAAAAGAAAAAAAAAGTAGTCTTGATATAGCTGGCAGCTAGCAATTGTTGACATTTAGTTATCTTACTAGTCATAGTTAGGAAACAGAAGGGAGATATAAGCTATTATAGCAGGTTGTACCTAGATTGTTAAAATTAAATCAGTCTTTATTAAAAATAAGAAATTTAACTATATATAAGCCTGTATAGAGTAAAATAATAGTATTTTAAAAAATACTATTTTTAGTAATAAAAGTAAGACTGTTTAGTAAAAAAAAAAAATTAAAAAATATAAATATTACATTAAGTTATATATAAAAATTCTAACTATATAAGTCTATATTGGGTTTATAAATCTAAATAAAAATTTTATCTAACATTTATATAACTTGATAGAGCTATATAGATTTATAATAAAATGATCTTGTAATGATCTTTTAGAATTTTTTAGTTATTTACCAAAAAATTTATCTAAAACCACACTTATAATTTAGGTTTGTTGATTACACTGATGTTATGATCAATTTGTAATATTAATATAGATTTTCTAAATTTTGTCCAAAAGTGAAAAATTGGCTAAAAAAATCATTAGCTTAGCTGGTTGATTTTTTTAAAATCAGCTGATCAATTTGGTATAGTCAAAATATACCATTATAAAAACTTTGATATTGAAAATAAAAAACATAAAATATAAGTAAAGTAGAACCAAAAATTTTGTAAATTTCAAATAAAAGAACAAAATTAAATAGTATTTTAGTTTTGCCAAGCTGACTAATCTAATAAAATTTATCAGCTTAGTCTTAATAGAAAATTATACTTGGTCAGAATTACTAATTGGTAATTGATACTATGAATTAATTTCCAGATTTAGTATTTTATTAATTAGTATTGTAATTACTCTAATTTGATATTTGATTTGTTATTAAGAATGATAATATAATTTGTCTTTAGTAATACTTACACATGTATATATGTATTAGTTCCCTATTAAATATTAGAATAGAAGTTGTATACCTTTGAACTCTTTTCTTAATAAAGATAATTCTTATAAAATTGTTTTTATAACTAAATTGTCTATCTAAATATTTTTTCTAAACTAAGTTAACAAATAATGCCAGTTGTATAGAGATAGCAATATACTTCAGATTCTTGTTTGTATATCTCAACTAAGCATAAAGACATGAAGTATAATAATAAATAACAAATCTAATTGAATTTCAAATATTATATATATATATATATATATTTGTTTAGATGAATATAAGAGTCTAGACTCAGAGTTTGAATAGAGCCTGTGCAAAATTCATATTTATTTTTCTTTTTTTTGTAAGAAATTATGCTTTTTTTTTGTAATTATAATTCTATTAATTAAACTAAGAAGATATAATAATATACTCTTTGAGGGGTCCTTGTCTGCCATAATAACAATATCATCATTGGTTAAGTTCGCAAAGTCTTCTATCAATCCAATTCAATTTCTATTACTCATTACCAACATGATATTAATTCTTCCCTTTCTACTTGTTATCCTCTTCCTTCTATCACCTGTAAGCCTTGTCAAGGCTGTAGCTTAAACTCTTTTGAAGTTTCTTCAATTATTTCTACTCAATTCTTTGGTAGAAAATCTAATAATCAACTTAAACTTAATGCCAATTATATTGACCTCATTCACTCTACTACTTTCAAAAACCCACTTGAGATTCCATCTTTACCTTCTATTAATATTGTAGACTCTCTTACTTCATCTCTTTTTTACAACAA